TATAATAATAAATATAATAATAATATAATATAATAATAAAATATAATAATAAAATATAATAATAATAAATACAACAATAATATAGTCAGAAATATAATAATAAATATAGTAATATAATATAATAATAAAATGGATTTTCTCACTTTATTACGTAGTTATATATGTCAATTATCATTGGAAATTAAATACACATTGTGATCTTTAATCGCTATTCGAGCATTCCTTTAATTCACAGTGAGGCATAATTCACATTACAGGTCGAAAGGAGATATTACACGGAATCAATGGAAGACTTCCAGCGAAACATTTAATCGCCCTAATGGGCCCATCCGGGGCAGGGAAGTCGACCTTGCTGGATATCCTGTCGGGATTCAGGACGACCGGCGTGAATGGAAACGTTTATGTCAACGGCTGCGTTCGGCACATGAATTCATTCCGAAAGTAAGTGTCGCTGGAAATATGTACACTTCTCTTTATCATGAACATGATAATAGAACATTATCATTCGTGGTCGAAGAGCAGCTTATCTTAATCTTAAATATATTAATAATTACGGCAATTAATTTTCAAATTGTTGAGATTTGATGCATCGAGGAGAATGTTAACTGGTAATACATGGATTTATATAATCATTGAAGCCCTTTCTCTTGCTCTTAGTGTTAAGGAACGCAGATCATCAACACGATGGAAACATTTCTGGATGATGAAAATGATTGCAAATGTTTCTCCAACTTCTTTGAAAAATCGTTGTTTAGATCAACGTCAATTGTACGTTGTAAAATCATTTTTTTGTATACTTTCGTGTGAAAAATGGTTTATATGAAATCTACAGTTGTTTCTACTCTTTCTATTCTTTCTCTTTCTATGCTTTTATTTTATTATTTTGAAAATTGCATCGTGTAGTAAACCTTGTTGAAAGGAATGAAAATTACATTATTTAGTATCCTCCTTGACGTCAGAAAATGAATATTTTAACACTTTCTAAAAATATCCTGTTATTAGTTGCTTGCAACACAAGGAGGTCAGAAAGGACTTCAATCTATGTAGGTTGCAATTAATGATGAAACCGTCATATATTCTCATTTTTTACCGTTTTATAGATGCAGCGCGTACATCACTCAAGATGATCGTTTGGAAGCTCTGTTGACAGTTATGGAGAACATGACTGTGGCGGCTGACCTCAAACTGCCCACCAACATCTCCAAAAATAAGAAGGAGACGATAGTAAGTTTGTAAATGTTTTGAAGATTTTTTTAAATACTAGCATCGTTGGCGAATGGCATGTTGCAAGGCATGATATTATTTCTTAAATATCGATTATTTCTTGAAGAATATCATCATCATTATTTAAAGGTTCTCCTCGTCCTTCGAAATCTGTATTATCTACTAAGGAGAACACACACATAAAAGTCAACGTTTTGAAAGTATTTTGAGCAATGGACTTGAAAATGAAAACTTACTTCACTTGGTGTCGAAGGACCACTTCTCTCAATATGGGGATGAATAACTCAATCTTGACTTATTGACGATAAATTTATTGCCTTGTCAAGAATCTCTACTGCTTCTGCTTGATGCAGACAGTTAATTCCATCTGGATAACTAATTGTAAGCTAAAGATGACTGAATTTAATTGATTAGCTAAATACTGACTGACTGAGAACGACTCTGATTAAATAACTAAATTACTTGACTGACCACTAGATAGGTTGAATGAATCTTATTGAATTACTGACTGACTGACTGTAAATTTCTTACTGAGTTGGTGACTATCGTGAGTCTGAATTTCTGTGAAACACTGACTGACTGTATGTGATTGACTATCTCAGTATCTTCTTATAAGGAGATCTTTTCGTCCTCTTTTCCAAGGTTACAAATTGTAGAACGAGAGACATAAGACCAATCAGAAGGTATCAGACAGTTTCTCATTAGTTTCTTCTCGTGATTGACTCGTGTGAGGAGGCAGCAATTGCTATTGTTCAGAAAAAATGTAGTCCTGGAACCAGTCGTACGTTCTCTAAACTTACCCTTAACCAATTTCATTAAACAAAAATTATCGTATCAACTTCCTGCCCTATAAACTTATTTATTTGTAATAATCTTACAACAATTTGATGATGATTCCTTGAACATTCTTTTGCAATTAATATCTTAATCGCTATTCGAAGAACGTTTCAACTCTAAAACGTGTCATTAATCTCATGATAATTATTACCATAGTTATCAGTTGCATAAACACATTTGTAATTGACTGTAATTATTAAACTACGTAATTTGCAATAGAACAGGATTTACAGACTAAATTGAATATTCTGTTTTAGATTAAAGAAATCCTAACTACTTTGGGCCTGTATGAACATATGAACACCCTAACGGGAAAATTAAGTGGCGGACAGAAAAAGAGATTATCCATCGCTTTGGAGTTAGTTAATAATCCGACCGTTGTGTTCCTCGATGAACCGACTACGTAAGTTTAATTGTATCATGAAAATTAATTGAATTGTCATGAAAATTCTCATGGACATGCATATGTTATTTAAATTGCGTTACAAACGGACAGATGTGAGAAATTAAAAAAAAAAAGCGTAAAAATGTATTGAATATATGTAATATAATAGAAATTATTATATGATATAAATTATAAGAATTTGTCATGAAAATGCAGAACCTGGTAAGCAAACGTGCCATTGGAAGAAAAAAACATGTGTGCGAACACAAACAATTTTTATAGCCACATTATGATTATGAAAGAAAACTCAAACATTTAATATCTTTTTTTATTACTATTTTTTCTACCTGGATTCTGTTATATAATATTATCCATCCACGGTATACTTTACGATGTTCTACAGTATACTTACGGTATTCTATAATGATTGTGTACGAGAAGTTAATATTTGATATTTGATCAATACTTATAACAGAGTTTTTATGTAATAACATTAGACATATTACGTGTATTCTCTGTATAAACTTTTTCTTGTATAAATGTATGAAAATCCGTAGTCTGTAGTATCGTGTTACACTATTATTTGATTTTTATTATTTACATCGATAAAAATTGAATAGAATTGTATAAACGTACATAGCCCAGTGATAGTAATATTTATACAGATAATAATAATAATGATAATGATAATGATAATGATAGTGATAGTAATTATCATCATCATCATCATCGTTGTCGTCGTCGTCGTCGTCGTCGTCGTCATCGTCATCGTCATCGTCATCGTCATCATCATCACTATCACCATCACCATCACCATCACCATCACCATCACCATCATCATCATCATCATCATCATCATCATCATCAACAACATGCGGCGAATGTTTCAGAGGTTTGGACAGCTCATCATGTATGCAAGTAGTGAACTTGCTAAAACTACTCTCGCGACAAGGAAGGACGATCGTCTGCACGATTCATCAACCCAACGCGTCGATCTTTCAGTTATTTGATTTGGTACGAGGTACTTTTTACCGTAGATCTCTCCTGCCGTTATTTCTGCTGAATCACAGTTGATGTCATAGTTAAATTTTTCATCGTGTTCCTTATGTTTTATTCAAGACGCACGTAGTAATCGATTTTTTTTTCACTTTTCATTTGCATAATTTCAGGTTTACGTATTGGCCAACGGGGACTGCTTATTTCATGGTGCAACCAGCCAGTTGGTTTCCTATTTGGAGAACGTTAAACTACCTTGTCCTGTATATCACAATCCAGCTGATTACGGTATGAGAAACGTATAATTGGATGGAGAAATATACAGCAAGATGGTGAATCGGCGAAACAGAAGATAATGATTTTTCAAATTATCAGAATATTCGTTTAAGATGCGTTTTTTCTTAAATTGATTTTATTGACTATAAGTTTCATTTTTACAGTCAATCGACTGAGAATTAATCGACAAAAATTAATATTTTCTTAAGTCTCTCTATTTTCTATCCTTCTTGGTTACACATTAATAAAGAATAAGTAAACGAGCTAAAATAAAAGCAAAAAAACGAAACGATTTTATCGCATTTATTTTATTTTTGTTTTGCTGTTTATGATTGGAAATTCTGTGCAATACCAGTGCCATGCAGTACCAAGCCTTGAATACTAATAGCTTCAAGCATATTATTGCAACATCAATTAATGTCTCTGTATAATTTATAATCTTGTATCTCTCCAACCAACTGGGTATAATCCGATTTTATTGTTAAACTGATATAGTATACATTTCACCGTATTTAAATCATGTTTTTTATTTAAAATAATCAGACTACATACTTAGTATTTTATCTTAAAATATTACGTTAAAGATATTTTCTTCAGTTTTTAAAGCTCTTTCATGTTGAATGAAAATGCTTTATTGTTCGACGAATGAACGCTGTACATAATACTCTTCTTGTTCTCTGTTTCTCTGCAGTTATTGAATTGGCTTGCGGCGAATACGGAGAAGATAAAATAGCGTTGCTAATATCGAGTTCAGGAAACGGCAATAATATACAATGGTTCGAAAATGCTGATGCACTTGTGAATGGTTTGAAAAGTACGTATCTATTTTAAAACAAAGTACATTGATAATATTCCTAATATTCCTAATAAAGATTACGTATAAATTTTAGTTACATCATGAAATGACATATATGTTTTCCTTTTGCAGCATTGGATTCGAATAAAAAAGCTGTAAATTTAAATAGAGAAAGTGGCCTTCAGGCTACTCCTTTAACACATCAAATCAAAGTTCTAATAAGAAGAGGTTTTATTATGTCTAAAAGAGATATTGTAAGTATTATAAAATTGTAAAATTTAAATAATATATATCTTCTTATCTACTATTTGTAATCTATACTCCTTGGTAAAAAACAAAAACCAACTTTAAAATTACCAATTTTATTTTCTCGCGTATTTCAAACAAATGTAACAGTATTTTATACTTTGAATATTCCAAAAATATTTGCCAGAATTAGTAATAATGATAGAATGATGATGTTCTACTGTGTAGTCAAATAATTTCTTTCTACAACGAACGAACTATCTCTTTGTTACAGACGTTAACATATTTACGAATCCTAGTCAACATAGTTGTTGGCTTGATGCTTAGTCTGGTCTTCTTAGAAGCTGGTATCGATGGTTCCAGAGTATTAGATAATTACAATCTTTTGTTCTCCATTCTCATACATCATTTGATGACCTCGATGATGCTTACCATTGTTACTTGTACGTAAAACATTTTATAATTCAACTACTCATTGCTAAAATTCTATTTCTTTCAGGAATAATATTCAAAAGTGTTTTCTCATATTTTTCAGTTCCCATGCAAATGAACATCCTATTGAAAGAACACTTCAACAAATGGTACAGCCTAAAAGCATTTTACACGGCCATTACAATCGTCGATTTACCGATTACGATAATATCCTGTCTACTTTTTACCCTAATAACGTATTTCATCACGTCTCAACCATTAGAAATATCACGATTTTTCATGTTTTTCGCGATTAGCTTGTTGGTGGTTCTGATATCACAGGGGACTGGTCTCATGATTGGAGCAGTATGCAACGTAATTGTGAGTATGTTAATAAGCATGATCAGACAATGCACATAGTGCTTATAAGAAATATCCAAAATATCATACAATAATTTCTACAATATTTAATAAGTAAAATAATGTTTACACCTAGGTTTCAGTTTTTAAATCATATCCATACAATATATGAAACATCTTAAATTCATATAAACATTTATAATTTCATTTCATTATTAGAAAACGTTTGCAGTAACTCCTTAAAATTTTAGAACGGAACATTCGTGGGGCCAACATCGACTGTACCACTAATGATGTTCTCTGGTTTTGGCCTGACATTACGTGATACGCCAGTTTATCTCAAATGGGGTACATACATCAGTTTTTTGCGATATAGTTTGGAAGGGTAATATTCTTTTCTTCATACTTTTTAAACGTTTCACGAATTCTAAGGATAACATAAAAGTCACACAGACATATAAGCATTATTTTTGCATCACGGTATATTTATATTCTCTTAAAATCTTTTAATAATTAATTAATTGTTTTTTTATAGATCTGAGAGCGGTACTACAAAAAAAAGAAGTAGTATTAGATTTTAAGAGAATGTAAATATACGATGATGCAAAAATATATATAATATATATATATATATATATATATTATATAAAACCAGTATGACTCAGATCTATATAATGCATAACATGACCAGAAATACAGGGTGCGGCAGGATGGAGTCCCACATTTCCAAGGTGGATTATGAGAAAACAAAATACGAAATACGAAAGAAAAAGTTTTATTTTCTAACAGTACATATAGTGCAGTTTTTTTGGTCTTGGTTTTAAAAATAATATCGTCCAAACGATGGCCTTGACGGACGATGCACATGTGCAGGCGTTCCTGGAAGTTTTCCATTACTCGCTTCAAAATATCTTGAGGAATTTCGGTGATTTCGTTTTTAATGACCCTCTTGAGAGCCTCTAGGGTTCGAGGATGATGCTTATAAACCTCAGTTTTGAGGTACCCCCACAAGAAAAAGGGGCTCAGATCTGGGGAGCAAACGGGCCACGTAACATCTCCTCGTAAAGAGAGATCAGGGGATCATCTCTTGCAAAATGGCTGTTGTGAAATGAACGTCGGGCTGTATGAGATGTGGCACCATCCTCTTGGAACCAGAAGTTATTTGGATCTTGTTCCTCTTCATACTCTTCCATTTTGGGGCGTAAAAAGTTGACCAACATGTTACAATACCTTCTTTAAAAAAATATGCCTACAGAGGACATTGCACAACAAACGGTAACTTTTGGGTTAGGTTTGCTATGAAGAAGTCGTTGGTGGAGTTGACGCGGGTTCTCAGCAGCTCAGTATCCAAAATTTTGTTTATTAACCTCGTCACAAACATGGAAATGCGCTTCGTCGCTACTCCACACACAATGTTGGGAGGTACAGTTGTAAGGATGGCATTGCAACAATCTCTACGTCTTCCATCCTGCCGCATCCTGTACATACTGAACAAATGCCTAATACAGAATTAATGCCTAGATGTAAAAAGAAAACGTGGATCATGGTTCGATCAGAATAATAATAAGTTTTTCGAATTTACAGATACGTTGGTGCCATCTATGGATTTGATCGACCAGTATTATTCTGCAAGAAGGAAAATTTGTATTGCCATTACCGATATCCGGCAAAATTTCTTTCTGACATCGCCATGGATGGTAATCAATTTTGGAATGACATTGTGGCACTTGTAACGATTCTTCTGTTAACACGATGTGTCGCATATATACTTCTCAAATGGAAGACCATATCTGCACGATAAATGATTGAGTTCAAAGCAATTTCGTCGAACTTATTGTTTTGATCTTATTTTTTATCAAAGTGATTATCAAGTGATCGCTATTCAACTCTAGGAGGATGTTACGTAAGAAAAAGAAAAATAAAAGAAACGAAGAATGTATTTATATTTCTCGTAAGTATTGTTTTTGCAAATATACTTAATGCAGGGTAGCTTCTCTAAAAAAGATATGAATGTGAGTTTAATTCCAATATGATTTTTGAGAAACAAATACATTTGTGTGTTTATTGTAAATTTCCAAAAAAAATAACTGTAGTTTTAACCACATCATATCTTTTTTGTTAAATCGTATAGAATAACATACGAAAGAAGACAGAGGACATGGAATATTTTATTATGTACATAAATGTTTACGCTATTTCGTCAAATTTACGATTATAGATTCTGATTTTTGTTTAGTTAATGACCCAGCGATATACCCAAGGTACATAATTTTATGTTTTTTAAATGTGAACAATGAAATGTACTCATTGTCAATGATATTTACTTAACGTTACTTCTCGTAATGATACACTGCAATTAAGAATTATTCCAGAATCAATTTTAAGTTATTCGTTATTTCTACATTTCATAATCTTTAGATATTTAAATACCTTAATTATGAATTAAGGTCTTTCGTGATTGAAATATATTATGAAATATATTATAGAGTAATTTTTTGGCTAAACTTAACAATTCATCATTAAAGTTTAATGAACGAAAAGAAATACGCTATGTTGTAAGTTAAGTACATATTTAAGTAAGGTGATATTTTTTCCGAAACGATTCGGAAGTTGAACGTGATATTTTATAACTGCTCAACGAATGTTAATTATCAATGCATGTTTCTTACATTTACAAATGAAAAGAAATGTTAGAAAATTTTCCAATCATACACACATCTTATATATTATAATGTATGTTTATTTTCCCGTAATTTATAACGTCAGAAATTTTTTACACCTTTTCTATTTGAAATTGTTAACTGCACATGTAAAGTATTTTTATACAACTATTGTTAATATATTTATATTTAGTGGAATAAACAAGAGGAATAAATAATTTTAAAATAATCCCCCAGTCTAAGCCTTTATCTCCACCAACGTGATACGTTTAAGTATGTCATTGTTTAGCTTTTTGTGCTTTCCATTTAAGCACCAAATATGTCGAGACTTGCAAACACAGTATCCAAATACATAAACCTAACACAGCCGTGTAATAAGAAATTGCGGGCATATCCATCTCTTCTAAGACCCTTTTAGGCGAACGTAGATGACAATAAATTTCGTAACACCGCAATCTTTCTCTATCTCCATCGTAAATTGCTTGTAAAATACCTTCAAACGCAAATCTATAAAAAAAATAAGAAAAAAGGAAATGTCCTTTCTATAATTAATTTTATAAGAAACAACAAATTGTTGTTAATTACAACAAATAATGAATTACCTAAAGAAACTAATGGAGCACAAAGGTTTAAGAAATAATGGTACCTCGCTAAATTTTAAGAAAAATCCGGCAAACAATATCATTGGCATGTTGAGTGCAGGAATCAAGAAAATTCCCAACTAAAAATATTAATTAATTAGCAATATATTACTTTACAAAGCTGGATTATATAATTTATAATTCGATTCAGTATAAGTTCAAACAATGAAATTACATTACAATTATAATGCGATGGGTGACGTAATATAATTTTCACAAAGAGTAAACCTCACTGTTTTATATTACATTACCTGTGTATTGAAGACAGCGCCAATGAGCATTCCTGATGATTGTCCAAGGATTGTTGTCAAAATACAAAGTAGCCAAGTACGTAAAAATCTGTCGCATTCCATCGGTTGACCACTCATGTAGTATGTAATTGTAATTAACACCGAAGGTGAAAGAATCTAAAAGAATAATTATTTATTTGCGAATTTTACGTGAATTTATATTTTTGTATTAATATGAAACGAAAAGTTCGTTTGACCTGAATATCGTAGACGTATTAAATGCATTCCGAATATTTTTGTCATTCTCAATTCCTCAAAAGTACGTAAATATTCGCTGTTTGATTATTATACTAGAGCAACATGGGTTCTAATATGACTACAACTATGTTAATTAATATTATTGTTGTTGTTGTTATTGTTATTATTATTATTATTATTATTATTAAACTCACTTGTAACGGAAGATCTGACAAAACTTTTACAGAAAAATAAGACGTTAAACGGTACCAATTATTTAAGTATTCTCGTACGAAAACAGCGGCCTCTATAGGAACTGAAATTAAATAAAATCATAAATTTAATCGAAAATTTTAAATTTAATCGAAAATTACATTTCGATGGTGTATATCGAATCACTTACACATCTGTACAGCTGGCAAGGAGTTCGCAAAGTACAAAAACAACAGAATAAAAAATACGCAGGCTATATTGCTGTGAATCCTACTAGCGTTAGTCCCGGAATCATAGAACATTACGCCTAGTAAAAAAGCTATTACAACGTGTGCCGTGAATCTCAACTTCGTCAACATCTATAAAATGAACAATAATTCATAACAAGATCGAACTTCCTATGGAAATGACAACAAATTATCAACTTCCAATTACTAACATGGTCCCGTTTGATACAAATCAACGCCTTCAGTAATAAAATCTTCTGCTCTTGCCACATAGACGATAGCTTCGATTTGTTGGTAATAATATCCAATCTTGGTGCAACTGTAACATCTGTTTCTAAAACAGATCATTAGATAATATCGTAATAAAGTATTAGTAATTTAATTAGTTTAATTGCACGTTACTCTTACGAGTAACAGATTTCAAATGTGTTTTAAATTATGATTGTTACCCGCAACAGATTGTTGGAAATGCTCCCTCCATTTCCAGTATTTATCTTGGCTAAGTTTGTGCAAATTGCTCAGATCTCCATCCCTCTCTCCCGTTATCACTTCAAGAACTGCAACGATATTGAAGATGATTATAATAAATAATCTATAATAAATATAACGTTTTGGTGAGATATTACCAAATTCAGATATATTATAAAACTGAGGGCACACGTATCCCGCCTCGTTGAAGGTACAAAAAACATCGTTCCAAACTCCGCAATAGAACGAGGTCCCGTTATGTATCACTAGTAAATCGTCAAATTGCGATATCATACGACTGCTTGGTTGATGAATCGCGCAAACGACCGTGCAACCTCCTTTTGCTATTTTATGCAACAGCCCAATTACCTATTCGAAACAGATTATTATTTTTTTTTAGATCCTTCCCTTTGAATCATCAAATCACGACAAGCGTTATGAACCTGATTCGACGATGCACTGTCAAGTCCGCTGGTCGGCTCGTCGATTAACAATATAGACGGTTTCGTGATTATTTCTACGCCAATCGACAATCTCTTTCGTTCTCCGCCGCTTAGGTCTCCCACCAGAGTGTTCAAGCAGCTTGTCATGTTCAAACTTTCTGCTATTTCCGTCACCTGCAAGTTCAAATACACAGTGGGTAATCGAGTTTTCAAAATTCTCGAATTTTTTTATAAATATTACAATATATAGGTATGTATTTTCGAATAAAGAAAGTTCCTCTCTGAAAGAATGAGAAATGAACACGGTCCAATTTAGAATTATCAAGAAACCACTTTCCTAAATTGTATACCATGTATATTAAAAGTGTTTTTCGTTTCACGCGTAATATTTCAATCTGCTCTATGCTGAAATATATATCGTTCTCGAATTTTTCTGCTCGAAATTGTCAACAGGTTCCCGATTCTCAAGTCCAGTGACCCAATATAGGGAACCTGTTCTACAGTAGTTCCCACGTAACTGAGTAGACCTTTGGACCTCGTAACTGATCAGCGCTTATTAAAATGGAGACTATTCTCACTCTATGCTACCTTTGAGATGCAACCGTGTGAAACGTAACATTCGACACACAAAATAAAGCGATATATATGATGCCGATATTGGTGAAATAGTAGACGCTCATCCCCACTCTTTCTTTCGATGCCAATTCCTGGAATACACTATCCTTAACTGATCAGTTTCGGACCCGACTGTTGGTCAGTTATGTAGGGCTTACTATACTTTAGCAAATTTCACACGTTGAACGTACAATGAAATTGACGGCATGCTTATCGCAAATGTCTCGTATCTTCAAACGTGCTGCGATATACAGTGTTTCTTTGGCAGTGAGCAACGGTTGAAGAGCGAATTCCTGCGGTATGAGACGTATCTGCTTTCGGAAAGTATTGCCGTTCCACTTGTTACCGTTAATGGTGATCGACCCATTAACACTTGGTGTTTTTGCGCTGCATATAACGCGTAGCAACGTGGTTTTTCCAGCGCCGGAAGGACCGATGATCGTCGTCAATCTCCCAGGACGAAAGCATCCTGTCACATTCTCCAACACCGTCTTTGACTTTCCTATCACAAGGAAACAGAGAGATGTGATTTTCCGCAGAATAATAATTTCATTTGTCCCGTAATTGTACGTCTCAAACAATGTCGCAACACTGAGAATCAAGATCTGTCTTATTATTTAATGGACACATCTCGTATCTTATGATAAATTTTCTATTTTTATACTTTACGTATTTCTGCGTATTATGCACTTTTCCGCAGTTTTCAATTTTTCATAAACCCAACGAAAAATCCGCAATCGGATTATCAATGTTCGATGAACATTGTTGACACTTGAATAATTAT